CCCCAACACCTGGCTATTTTTTGGTTGCAGCCATCATTGTTGTTTAGCTGTCAGGGGCTGGATTCGAACCCTCCAGCTCAGGTGTATGTGGCTGGTACCTTAGCCGCTTGAGCCACAGGCGCCAAGCCACACCTGGCTATTTTTAGAGATGGGTCTCCGTCTTGCTCAGGCTGGTCTTGAATTACTGAGCTCAGGCAATCCACTCTCTTTTGCCTCCCAGGATTACAGGCATGAGCCGCCACACAGGGCACTATACTCAGTTCTTATTGTTATCCTGAGCTGAGATCTGCTCCAAAGACCGAGAGTAGGGTTGCTTTCTCAGCCACATGACAGCCTTTCCAAGACTGGCAAATTCTATGCTGCCACCCTGAGTTTTCCCCTACTATCAAGCTGCCCATCCTTGGAGACTTTACCAAGCCTCACGGCTCAGCTCCAAGTCCATCCAAATAACTTCCCTTTGAATGTTTTCCAGATTGCCAGTGTCCCTCTCAGAGCCAGGCAGCAAGCACAGCACCAGGCGTTGTCTAAGAACTTTCTTGGCAACAGCCATGTCCTTAACTCAGGTGGAGCATATAGTCAACTGAAACCCCCAGATCCTTTTCACCTGTACTGCTAAGCCTCTATTCCATATGTGGAGAGGCTGGACCTTAAATCTTCCCTATCAAATTTCATCCTGTTCCAATCAGGATGAAAGAGTTTTTAAGATCCAGATTGAAACCAATTTTGTCATCTGATCTATGAACCATCCCTCCCAGCTGTATGTCCTCTGTGGCTGTGGTTGGCATCTAGATCTGCTGATAGTCCTGAAACCTGGGCCAGATCGGCTGCCCTCTGGACTGTCATCGGTCCCTTAATCATTGCTCCCCGGGAGTGCCTAGCACATTCTCTGACTCTGCTATCATGAAATTTAGTCTTCTCTTCTGCACCCAGCGGGTACATCAAGAGATTTCCTCCGATGCCACGCCCAGTACTGCAGCTGGACTCAAACTGGCAGAACTGACTACCACCCTTTGTGTCCCACCACAGTAGCATGGGGGCAACTTTTAGAGGACCAGCATCTGGATTTGCATCCCGGCTCCTACACTCCTCTGTTTGACCTTGGACAAGATACTGCACATCTCTGATCAAATCATCTAATAAGCTAGAAACTCTCGGAAGATATAAAGCAATGTCCTCTCATGATGGGGGATTTGACCATACAAATGAGAGTCTTCCATAGGAAGGATATCCCTACTACAAGGAGAGCCCTTATCTTCGAAGGGAACAGGAGCAGTGGCAAACTGTGAGCCCCATATCTCAGCTTGGGGAGGCTCTCCAGTTAATCTTTATCTATTAGGGTCCAATATCTTCTGTGAGGGCTCTCCCCGAACTGCGACTTGCTCCTGGCAGTCCCCTACATTGTGTTGCCCATGCCTGCTCAATCACGCCTCTCCAGAACTCTTGCTGCTCTGGTAGGTGGAGGTGGGTGGGCTCAAACATGGCTTGAGTGGGTTCTAGTTTGCTCATTCTCTAGTCCTGTGAAATGCAGAGATTCAGACCTGCTCTGCCTCTCTTACCAGGTTCCCACCACCTTCTTGTTTTATCTTGTTTATCCCATGCACTGGGGTGCCCAGAGTGTCCCAGAGTACAGCCCTCATCAGAGGGAGGCAGTAGAGACTTGTGTACCTGTCACCAATGCCTGGGGGCCAGCAGAAAACTGAACCCTATATGGGGAAAGAAGGAAGGAAGGAAAGCCCAAGCACACACCAAGGTTAGAGACAGATATTCTGCAAATGTCTCCTTTTCTTTCATCAAAGAGAAAGAAAAAGGGGGTTGTTGTTTTGTTTTTAAAGACAACAAAAGCCCTAATTGAAATTCATAATAGGTTCTGACCAGGCCTGAGCTCCTACCCAAGAAATGTGAAGCACAAATGCTTCTGAGAGGCTGAGCTTGGCTTCCAGGGGCAACTGTGGCTTCCTGAAAAGGGTACTGGCCTGAAGTCTGGAGCCCTAGGTTTGTGCCCCGACTCTGTTTCACATTAACTGTGTGACTTCAGGGAAGTCTCCTCCCCTCTCTGAGCCTGTTTTCTCCTCTGGCAAATGAGGACAACCACACTCTCTGATATTCCTGGGAGGGGTAGGTTGTGCTTGACAGATAAATGTACTTGGTGGACTATCGAGCCTTAGGCAAAAAGAGGGTTACCCCAGGACTCTGGCATGCAGGGTGTCTTGGGAGACCAGCTTGCCAGGACGCCAGGCAGGCCCCTTTCTAGATAAAAGAGAGCTTCATTGCTGTTAAACAATTCTCTGAAACCACCTAACAGCAGCTCCCTAGATGGCCGGATCAGCTTGCAGATGGTCCTTTAAGGAGGCTACTATCTTCCCACTCTCTCTACCCATCTGCTTTTAGCTACAGCCTTTGAGCAAATGCTGGGCCAAGATTTCCTCCAGCCTGGACTGACTCCACCGCCACTCCCACGCTGCCCCTCCACCCTCTCTGGGTGGTAGACTGGAAGGTGGGATCGAAGCTTATTTTAGCAAAGGGGCAAGTGGCACTCGAGTCCCCACAGTGGCTCTCCTAGACACACCTGCCCTCAGGTGTTTTCCAGCAGTCCCTCGAGACCATGCTAGCACTATCAAATTTTGGAAAGAAAAGGAGAATACATCTCTTCACCTATCACGAGACTCCTGGGAGAGACATGCATGTGTGTGTCTGTGCCCATAAAGAAAGAATAGGACACGGGCGTGGTGGCTCACACCTGTAATCCTAACACTCCGGGAGGCGGAGGTGGGTGGATTGCCTGAGCTCACGAGTTCAAGACCAGCCTGAGCCAGAGCCGGACCTCATCTCTAAAAAATAGCCGGGTGTTGTGGCAGGCACCTATAGTCCCAGCTATTTGGAGGCTGAGACAAGAGAATCGCTTAAGCTCAAGAGTTTGAGGTTGCTGTGAACTGTGACACCATGACACTCTACCAAGGGTAGCAGCGAGACTCTGTCTCAAGAAAAAAACAAGAAAGAATAGGGCATGACTTGTATGTTGGGATCCAATTCTATGTCACAACTTAAACTCCACTAATCTAACACAATGGAATTTTCTTTATTATATTTGTGTCTGTTAACAATGTTTCTACAGAAAGAAAAAAAAAAGTGTGTCAGAAGAACCAGGGAGGGTGGCACATGACCTGAATCACAGGAGACAAAAGGAGGGAAAAGAATGGGAAGATCTCAAGAGCTAGAGGATGGGGCCAGCTAACCCCTGATGCTAGTAGACGTGTGTACGTTTCATTGCCACATGCAGAGTTCTGTCATGGCCTGACCTGCAACAGGCAGGGCACCCTGTCACATCCTGCTCTCCCAGAGGAGAGGCCTAGGGAAGATGGTCACCCTGGCCCAGGTACCATGGCCAGGCCCAGGGGTAGAACTAGAACTAGAAATCAGGCTCCAGAGCCTGGCAGTGGTTTGAGGAGACTCTTGTCACCCCAGGCTGAGCTCATTAGGTTCCCCATGCATACAGTGCTCCTCCTTCAAGCTGCCTAACCTGGTGTCAGCAGAGGACCTGCCATCCCAACAGGGTATAGAGGGGCCACTGCTCCCAGGAGGGCAGGACTCTGGTTCTAAACTCTGCCTCCAACTTCCCATAAGGTTAGGATCTTTATCTTAGCTTGTCCTCAGCCCACTTCCCCAGGTCCATCAGCAGAGCAGATTTTCTTT